ATGTAAAGGTACAATTCCCAATGAGAAATGTAATTGTGTTGTATACCTACAATGTACCAATAAAAGAATTTAATTAAAAAAATACAAGTGAAAATGCAGATGGCCAAAGTGATGAAAACAAGGACTATACAATCCCAAATGAGTACAGAACTGGACCATACCAGCCCAATGTTCCTGTTGGTATAGACTATGTGATACCTAAAACAGGGTTTTACTGTAAGCTGTGTTCACTCTTTTATACAAATGAAGAAGTTGCAAAGAATACTCACTCCAGCAGCCTTAGAAATTTCTGAATAAATTGGCAGAAGAGCACAGGCAGAAGCTTAAGATGTGCAAGGTTTGATTTCAAAGAAAACAATGGTTGTTTTTAATGTAAACCTTTTTTAAATACAATACTGATAGAAGAAAACTATTGTAGTCTTGTTTTAGTGGAAAAATGATAGATATCTGTTCATGTTGTGTTAATAGCAAAAAATACACATATGGTTAAGTTAATGATGAAGTTTTGTGACATCAGAATGGCAAAGACAGAAGTACCTTGTTGAGGCTGACTGTAAGCTAAAACGACTTGCACCACTAAGAAAAAGATAGCAGAACCATTCAAATGAAATTTAGTAGTTCAAGCTTCAAAGAAATGTCAACTTTTGATTCCATTCAATAAAGAACAAAACCAACTGTATTTTTATTACTTTCATCTGAAACATTTCACATTTTAATCTGAGCCTTGCAGACTTTTTCATTTGGAGTCTGAAGCTGTGTGAGTTGCATTTCATTTTTAGAGAACTTTATGTGAGATTGGCAGTTCAAATGCAGGTGCAATTTTCCCTGAATGTCATGCTGTTCTTTAGATAATAAGAAATATTAAGTAATTGGCTTTAGATTTTGTAATTCTTTTCCCTGAGTTCCTGCTAGGTTTTGTATTCTAGTAGTCAATGTATTTTCAGTGAAATGTAAAAATATTCCCATTCTCTTTGACCAGTATTACTTTTTGAGAATCTTATTGCTTGTCACTTGAATCCTATAGCTGTCATACATCTTTGGTATAAGCAACACTTGATTTTTGAAGTGTGTAAACCATCTCTTCATATTTTCAGTAATTTTGCTGCATTTTTAAAAGTTTGGCCATAATTCTTGATGCACACTTCTAATTCATGTACCTGCACATGTGACCTTTGTGAACAGAAATTTGCAAGTATAATCTGTGTTTACTTGTAACTCTCTGGTCATATACTGCTCATATCTGTGGATTCAAGTTACTGAAGTGAATACCAATAAAGAAAAAAAGAATTAAAAGCATCATACCACAGAGACATATGCACACCCATGTTTATAGCGGTACATTTTGTAACAGCTAAATCTTGGAAACAGCCCAAATGCTCATCAACTGGTGACTGGATAAAGAAGATGTGTTTTGGTTTGTTTTTTATTTTTGGTTTGTTTTTTACAAAATGGAGTAAAGATTGATAAACTAGAGACATTTATAGCTAAATGGATGGACGTCAAGACCATACTCTTAAATGAAATAAATAGAATACACGTGCGTAAATGCCAAATTTTTTCTCTGGTGTGAGAAACTGAAAGTGTAAATGAGGACCAAAATGTATACCAGATAATGTGAAATAGGAAGAAAAGGTTCAAAGGGGAAGAGGAACTGGAGACGGGGTGAAAATGAAGGAAAAACAGAAAGCTTCTGTAAATAGGGAGGGGTGGAGAGGTGGAAAGGAAGGAAGGAAAATGGAAAAAAACAAGAATCAAGGTATATCATGTACAGGTACAAAATCCCGATGATGAATGTGATCATAATGTATACCTAAAATGTACCAACAAACATAAAGAATTTTAAAAAGATAACATAAGCTTAAACACACTGCTAATTTAGTGGCAAGAGTGTCACCTGCTGAAACTTCCTGAAGTAATGCAGATTGACTGACCCATTTGAAAGAATTGGACGGCCTTCACCAAAAACATTGAAAACTCCTACTGGTTTATGAAGGTGATAATATATAACTTCAATAAAGTAAAACAATAAATATAAAATTACCCGCACAAGAGGATTATTTAAATATTACACCAAGAATTCCAGCACTGTTAATTACTGTTCCTGGCATATACAATAGGAGCTCAAAAAATGTTTGCTGAATTAATTCTAAGTTTTATAAAAAATTTAACGCCAAAGCATGCAGGCTGGTATCTTAACATACATAACTATAAATACAATTTTCTCTAATCCCCACTTATGTAGGAATATTGGCTTTTATTTTATGCCAGGCGCAGTTCAAAGTACTTAACATGTCTCTGTTAAACTTTACATAACCCTACATATCTTCATTTTACAGATAAGGAATAAAGCCCAGAAAGGTGAAGTAATGGATAGAAAGGTTCCTGAATGGATAGAGCCAAGAGGTCTTGGCTTCAAGACTCTGCTCATAATCCTGTGATAGCTTCCAGTTACACGGAGGACGAGTGAGTTTGATTTCAGCCCGTCCGGAGGTGGCCTCCCTACCCCGGGAGCTACTCAGCACGGGCTTCGCCAGGCGCAAGAGCCGAAGGTAGGGCAGCAGGACACGGATCGCCGAGTCACCACCGCCGTGGCTGACTGGCCCAACGCGTACCTACACCGCTCTGAGCGCCCCTGGGGCGCGCGCTAGGGTTAGGGGCGGCCGCGCCAGCACCTCAGCCCGGAGTGGCCGGCTCCCCGCAAGGCCAGCAACGCGCTCCGGCGACACCTCAGGGAGGACGTCCGGGAAGACAGGCCTCCCGGAAGGGGAAAATATGTCAATGAACAGCTTCCGGTTCGCCCCACCAGGCAGCGGGTGTGTGCGGGTAGGCTCCCGTTTTAGTTTTCTCGATGGAAGCAAAAAGGTAGTGTTTATTTACACAGGTAGTTTGTACCACAAAAAAGAAAGCTGCGAAAACCCTGCTGAACCCAAAGCATCAATGTGTAAAACTGCATTCAAAGTTAAGGACTATCATCGTGCAACTGAAAACCTGGATTGTGGCTGCACGCGAAGAGCTGAGGCTAGGCCTGCAGCCGGGACGCCCCGTGTTCAAGGAAATGTGTCGCCACTCGGCCTCTCGCCGAGGGACCCACGGAAGCCACTCTTCTGATTTTAGTCTTCTGGGGAGCTGGTTTAATCGTCAGGCTCCTTTCCTTAAAACCTGTACCCTCAGTGCTATGGCGTCTGCCTGGCTCTGAGTAAGAACAGGCAAGGGGCGTCCGTATCTTCCTCCCTGAGGACCAATCTGCGCGTGCGCAAACTCCACCCGCCATGTCTGCGCGTGCGTGCTCACCTCTCCACGGGAGTATATAGGTCTGCCCCCCCCCCCCGGAGCGCGTGCACGCACGCGCACACTCCGTGACCCCTGTGGGCTAGAGCTCCGGAGGTAAGGCTCCGGAAGGTGGAGAGTCCGGGGAGGGCGCCTAGAAAGCTAGCCTTTCGAAGAGCGGGCGGACGGCAGGAGATGGAGCCCGGGCGGCCGCGGCCCGTGCTGCGCTCAGTGAACTCGCGCGAGCCGTCCCAGGTCATCTTCTGCAACCGCAGCCCGCGCGTTGTGCTGCCCGTGTGGCTTAACTTCGACGGCGAGCCGCAGCCCTACCCAACCATGCAGCCGGGCACGGGCCGCCGCATCCACAGTTACCGAGGTACGAGCCTGCCGTCCGCCTCCCGGGAGCTGGGGATCGCCGTCACCCTTCCGGGGACGCACCCAGTCGATGCTGCTAGTGAGTGGCATGACGTTCTTTGTAACGTTGAGGGGTTTTCATTCGAAGGTGTTTTTCCCCCTTACAAGATCGTGTACCCCTCACAGATGGGCTACATCCCTAAAGCCATCCGTTTAGTCCTGCCGCCCTCCGTGTAGACGATTGCATGGACAGACACAGAAGGGCACGAGCCCGCGGCACTGCGTTGAGCCGGTTCGACGGGGCCTGGGTGCTTTTGGGGGAGGGAGGGTGTGGCTCCACATAGGGAGTGGATCCCAGGGAAGGAGGGGAGCAGGACGAGATGAGTCGGCTATGGGAGATGAGAATGTGAGGTGCTGGCGCGTGCTAAAACCTGGAGCCTTGGCAGAGGGGGGTGGTGGGTGTGGCGTGGTGGGAGAGAAAGCTCAAAAGATAGTTTTACCTTAGGGAAATAGGGCTGGTTGACATTGTCAGAAATACCCATTGAATAGCTTACCCCCTTTGCAGAGTGGTTTGGAGGAGGAAGACGACTGACTAGTAAGCATCAGTTAGGAGACTAACCAGGTGAGGATGGTGGCATGGTGGGGCACCTGGGCTCCATAGTGAGCTCAAGGCCAGCCTAAACTACATAGCGAGACCCTGTCTGAAAAAACAAACCAACTGGATGGGGATTTTTAGCTCAGCGGTTCCACCGCCTGCCTCGCAACCGCAAGGACAGGAGTTGGAACCCCAACCCCGGTACCAAAAAACCAAAAAAACCAACCACCCAACAAAAAACAGGTTAGGAATAACTAGGCCTTTAACTAAGGGAATCTTCTGATGGTCTTCAGGTGGAGTAGTTCTAGCCTTCCTTAGGATTGTTTTTGTTTTTTTTTTTTGGTACCGGGGATCGAACTCGGATCCTTGAGCCTGCGCAACAGGCGGCGAAACCGCTGAGCTAGATTCCCAGCCCTTAGCCTTCCTTAGTTTTAACAACTCATCTGTAGGGATCCTAATGGTTCTTTTCTTCCTTGAACTACTTTATAAGCTAATGCTTCTCAATCTTTTTATTAATTTTTAAAGAAAAGGAATATCTTTATTACTTACGGTTCTGGAGTCTGGATAGTTCAACATAAAGGGGCTACCTTTTGCTACCGTACAACAGGGCAAAGGGCATCACGGCACAACACAGCATCTCAATCTTTCACATCAGACTTTTCTTTTTTTTTAAATAAGGTCTCAGACTGGGTGTGGTGGTGCACACCTGTAATCTCAGAACTTGGGAGTCTGAGGCAGGAGGATTGCTGCAAGTTGGAGGCTGCCTCCACTACAAAGCAAGACTCTGTCTCAAGAAAGCAAAAAAATAAAAATAAATACGAAATAAAGTAAGGCCTCACCATGTGGCTCAGGCTGGCCTCGAACTCTCAATCCTCTGCCTCAGCCTCCATTTCTACTTTATGTAGGAAATTGTGTGAATTTTGTAGTCCCCAAAATTTACCCTGTGCCTGATTTAATATCAGTTTTATTTTTTTAAATTACCGTGTGGATGTTCTTGATGTCACTGAATTATACACTTGAAAATAGAAGAAAAATGGGCTGGGCTGGTGGTGCATGCCTCTAACACCAGCTATTCAGGAGCCAGAGGCAGGAAGATTGCACATTTGAGGCCAGCCTGGGCTATTGGCAAGACCCTGTCTCAAAAAATTAAAAAATAGGGGTTGAAAGTATAGCTCAGTGGTAGAGCACCTATCTGCCTAACACGTGTGAGGATCTGGGCTCCATGTTTGTCACCACAAAAATAAAACAAGAGCTGGGAGAGTAGATGCTTGCCTAGCATGCAACTTCCAGAACTGCAAAAAATCAAAAGTTAGAATGGTAAATTTTATGTTGTATATTTGCCACAATGAAAAAACTAATTGCCAATTTAGATTTTTAAAAATGTGCACCAAATCTTCAAGAAAGTTTTTACCTCAGGTAGGAGTGCTGTATTTATTTTTATTTTTAATTTTTTTGTTTTCTAAGACAGGGTCTTGCTATGTAGTTCAGACTGGCTTTAAACTCACTGTGTGGCCCAGGCTAGCCTTGAACTGATGGTGATCCTTCTGCTTCAGCCTCCCAAGTGCTAGAATTACAGATGTATGCCACCACATGCCTGTAAGGCAAGGAATGCTGCTGTATAGATGCAGAGAGAACACCATCCTTCCTTAACAAGTTCCCGTTGGCTTGCACCACCCTTGGTACATGTGTGACTGTCCTATTGGGCAGCATGGGACAGTCATGCATATACCGCTGGTGACTCAGAGCCAGTCGGCAGTGATACATACACACCATGGCCCCGTTGTGAATATTAGAATCTTAAATGTCGAGGTTTGCCTTCCCTGTCCCTTTTCATTTTATACATATGGTATCTATTTTAAATTTACCTATAATTTACACAATAAAACGCACAAATCTTAGTGTTTGATGAGGTTTGACAGTTGTACCAATACCTAAATAGAACATTTCCATCTCCACTGAGATCCTCCTGCCCCTTCCAGTTCCCCTCGTGCTTCCTGTTTTTCATACAATGTGTTTGTTGTGCCTGTGCACTCTTTTCTGCCTGACTTCTGCTCTCATGCTGTCTTTGCACCTCCTTTTGAGCAGCACAGGTTTGGGGAGCCAGTGATCCTACAACTGCATTTTTCAGTGTGATTTGCAGTCAGCTGCTTTGCATAGGCTTTGCTCTTGGACCTTGGTTGAGTATTTGCCTGCCCTCCTACTGTTTGTGTCGCCTTGCCAAGTCACTTGGCCTATTTCAGACAGGCTTTCTCTTGCAAGAATTATGTTGTGATGTTAGTGGAAGAGAGGGCTTTGTGATATTTAAGCAGAGTGAGAGCCAGGAAGTTCATGTTGGTCAGGGCATAAGAGAGAAGACACATGCCTTGATCAGATTAGTGTGGCTCCCTAATGGCCTCTGCTTGTGCAACAGGTCACCTTTGGCTCTTCAGAGATGCAGGGACACACGATGGGCTTCTGGTTAACCAGACTGAATTATTTGTGCCGTCTCTGAATGTTGATGGACAGCCTGTTTTTGCCAACATCACACTGCCAGGTACTGACAGTTGATCTTTCTATAAACATTGTAATAAGTAATGGATAGGTCACTTGAAAGAATGGAAGATTAGCATCATAGTTCACTATTTATTTAAACCTCAAATGATTTTCTAGATTGGACTTAGACTTACCAAGACCCTGCCTCAAAATAAATTTGAAAAGAGGCTGGGGGTATAGTTCAGTGTGAAGGCCATGAGTTCAATCCCTAGTACTGCAAAAACAACTATAGTGTTGTAGGAGTCAAACTAATATATTTATGCGTAGATCCTGTTTTAAAGAAGTGGGCATACAAAAAGTGTTAAGCATTGTTAAGTTTGGTAAACTTTGTCTTAGGTTGCTGTCATGAAATCAACCAATAACAAATGCTGGCAGGGCTGTGGGGAAAGAGGAACCCTGCTCCACTGCTGGTGGGAGTGTAGACTGTTGCAA